ACTCGAGGATGCTCCTTATCTTGGTTGCGATAAGTGTGCTCGCGAAGTAAACACTACAGCAAGTCTGTGCCTTCGCTTTCACGCATAAACTTGCTCCTCTTCTAGACTTGCAGCCACCAGACCTCGCACGAAATGGTACTTGGCTAACGTGGAACACTCCTACACCCAGCTTCCAATGCCCGCCCACAGGTCCTGCTCTCCGTTCGGCATAGAGTCATAGAGACGATTCGGCGGGTTGGAGATCTTGGGTGGAGTTCCCTGCATCTGAGGCAAACTACTGCACTGTGTCTTCCAGGTTCTGCGTACACCCTTTCCATTAGGCGACTGTTGCAGATCGCCCGCTGTGGGTGACTGCAACAGTACTGCTTCTGTCAAGTAATTAGTTTCCAGGTTTCCAGCCTCGAGACCTCATGCCACACAGTATGCAGCTAGCAAACGAAATTGACACACCGCTTCTCGAGGCTCAGTAAGCTCTCGCCTCTGCTCGAACCGCTCCCGGCACATGGACAGGCTGTCATCCGCGAGTGCCCACCGAGGTCGGGAACTTCCTTTGTTTTCAGCTGCGTTCCTTTTTGCTGTGTGTGCCAAGGTCGCGACCTCCGAAATCCGAGCCGTTGGCTCGGGTGCCAACGGCACCATGAGCACAGATCCAGAAAAGACAACAAGAGTGTGTGAGAAAGGCAGAAAGAGCGAGAAAGAGAGAGAGAGAGAGAGCGCTCAACTCAGATACCTTTTCAATGGCAGCTTCGGCGGCTCTCCGCTTCAAACTTTTTTCAAAACTCCTGAGACCCCTGCGGGGGGACCTTTCGAGAAGACTTGTAATCCAATTTGTAATCAGGCCCTCGCGCCTTTCGCTCCATCCATGCACCACTCGCTCAGATGCATGCGTGGTCTTGTAGGGATAGCTAAATTCAACCGACATAAACTTTTGCCATTCCCTTGACCTGTCCTTCGGGGGACCTAAAAGCTCCTCGAGAAAAGTTTCTACAAGAGTGGGATGTTCCTTCGGCCTGGGGACGTTAGCCCGTCCCTATGCCCAGGAGAGAGAGAGAGAGAGAGAGAGAGAGAGAGATAGAGAGACAGAGGAAAGCATGTCAACGGCCACTTGGAGATTGACGCGAATAGAATGAGCCGCACGCACATACATACACACATAACATAGCTGTGTGACGCGCATAGAAGGAACGAATCATACATGTTTTCCTGTTTCGTCGCGCTCGTCCTGGATCCATCGCCGGGGCCTCAGAGACAGAGAGAGAGAGAGAGAGAGAAAGAGAGAAAGAGAGAGAGAGAGAGAGAGAGAGAGACGCGCATAGAGGGAACGAGTCATACATGTTTTCCTGTTTCCTCGCGCTCGTCGTGGATCCATCGCCGGGGCCTCAGAGAGAGAGAGAGAGAGAGAGAGAGAGAGAGAGAGAAAGAGAGAGAGAGAGAGAGAGAGAGAGAAAGAGAGAGAGAGAGAGACGCGCATGGAAAGAACGAGTTATACATGCCGCAGCCATTTACCTTCCATGCATCTCAATAATATACATAGCTAGATCCAGTCAAATGGGACTGGTGCATGTAACTGACCAGGTGCTTATGTTCGTTATCCATCGCCGGGGCCTCAGGGAGAGGGAGAGAAAGAGAGAGAGAGAGAGAGAGAGAGGGATGACGAAGAAAATCGCAAAAGTGACGAGTGCATAGGGCGGTTTGTATGCTGTGCGACCCGTACTGGGAAGCCAGCCAAACGCATGCTTAAATCAACTGCATGACTTGAGAGAAAGAGAGAGAGAGAGAGAGAGAGAGAGAGAGAGAGAGAGAGAGAAAGAGAAAGAGAGGGATGACGAAGAAAATCGCAAAAGTGACGAGTGCATAGGGCGGTTTGTATGCTGTGCGACCCGTACTGGGAAGCCAGCCAAACGCATGCTAAATCAACTGCATGACTTGAGAGAAAGAGAAAGAGAGAGAGAGAGAGAGAGAGAGAGACACGCATATATATATATATATATATATATGTCTAACTATTCATATCACTTACAAGTATCACCCCATGACCAAAAGTGTCCCGCTTGTTTTCAAATGCAGCTGCAGGTGCGTGAAGGACAACAATCATGCGCGTGCCTGATCGGAAGGGGGCGGGGGGAGGGGAGGGGGGGGGGGGGGGGGCCCAAAAACTAAACTGGGTTGTGCTTTAAACCCTTTGAAAATTATTTACGAATAGTTTCCCCTTTATAAGGAAATAAGGGAAATTAAACATTATCCCAAAGCACAACCCAGTAAGGAACCTAAGCCCTTTACTTACGAGCCCTTCATTGGAAAACTACGCCAGCCCCGAATCAAATGAACATCCAATACTGTGGAGGACTCAATCACCCTGTTGGGCTGCCAAGCTTGCAAATGTGTTAATACGCATACACGCACACACTCACACACACACACACACACACACACACACACGCGACACACACGACACAACACACACACACACACAACGCACACGACGCACACAACACGCACAACACACGATACACAACACAAGCAACACACACAATACACACAACACAACACAACACACACAACACACAACACACAACACACAACACACAACACACACACACACAACACAACACAGACGACACACAACACACAACACGACACAACACACACAACACACACACAACACAAAACACACACTCGCATACGTCTTTAAAACCATCTCTCTTGCACTCTTTCGATGTTGACCAGAGTATCACTGTCATGTGGGGTTATCCGGTCCTTTAATTTCGGGAAGGAGTGATGTCATTGTGCCTTCTCGACCATCTCACTCTGCGGGGGATGATGCAGTGTGCAATTGCGGCCTATCAAAACCTAACTGGAGTTGGGGCTGTAGGTCCTCGCTAGTGGTGGAAGACCCAAACTAAGAACATCCATCATGCTGCTGATTCCCTTGGCAAGCTTGTAGGCCATGCATAAGGTTGATTTGGAATCTTATTGAGACCTCTTGTGGGCTGGTAATGCAGGGCTTCTTTGCAAGCTGCGTGCAGGGTCTAGGGTGTAGGATTTGGCTAGTCAAGACTATGTGTGGGTTTTTGGTGTAAGAATTGACTGGTCGAGGATATGGTCTCACGACTAAATCATACAAACAGTAGTAAGAGCACTATTACACATCTTGCATAGTTTGATGGTGCATGATGGAGTACAGACAGTCGAATACCAATTTAATGTAGAAGCGTAGGAGTGGGCTTGCGGCAATTACAACTTAGGCTGTGGCAAGGCTTGGGACCGATAACGGATACCCAAGTCATTCATCGTTTTAACCAGATAGATCCAATCTGGATGATGGGGAAGCTGGCTCGATCGGCTCTAGCTGTTGCCAGCATAAGCAACAGGACCGTGCGGGTCGTCAGCCTCAGCGCAAGGGGCGTGCACACGCTTGGTTGTAAGAAAACAAACCGATCGCAACTGCCTACTGCATTTCGAAAAGCACATTGGCTTGTCTCACATAGTCGAGGGAGCAATCGCCCAAAGGTGCTGCTGCGGATCGTCGATGGGTTCCTTTGTTCATCCAAATAAATGAGGTGCAGGGTAGACCCGCCGACATTAGGGCATCTTCTTCGAGACGTAGAACTAAACGAATCGCCACCAGGAAGCCGGTCCTTGGAATCGGAAGGGGGTTAGTGATATTTACTGGGTCCCGAAACGACATACCGCAACGATCTAAATAAAAAGGCAGTCTAGGGGCACACTCAGCAGATCGTTGTCTTTTGGCCGGGATTCGATATCGTAGTAGGCACTGATAGCAAGACATGGATACGTGATTGATTGGCATACGAGCAATTGCCCCAATAGCCCGGCCTTGTTTGATTGGCAGAACCTGAACAGATCGCCAACAGATTCATGTAACAGAATCCAAAGGAAGCCTCGAGGTCCCGGCAAAAATTTGTTATAAAGATTCCCCTGCCCCGCGAAGAAGTCCAGCAACTTTAAGTCCTGGAAAGAGATGTCTCTGTACCCTAGAATGCGAGGTACTGATCCAAGACCCTGGCTCTGTTGCTTAAAGGCGAGTCGGCCGGTGTTATCTGGGTCATAAAGTCACGGGCATGGATCCTGAGCGGAGCTAGGTCTGAAATGGACAGATAGGATTGAAGGCTTCGAGCTTATAAATGGTTTTCGGAACCATATTTGTTCAAGAAGTTCCTTACCACTTTTGGGCTAGGATTGTTTTGTCGGAACAGCTGGGACAAGAAATTTACTTTTCGTGGCTTTAGAATTTAGGGTTTGGGGGGTTTAGGGTTTAAAGGGTTGAAGGAAGGCAGGCCCACTGGGGCAAGGTAAACAAGCATTCTGAAAAGTCGAAATCTTAGGTCCCAGCAGAACCAAGGGCAGACCCATCAGCCACAAAAGCTGAGATGTACATGGAGAAAGAGCCAGCGGGGCCGAATGCCCCTTGTCGGTCCTCATGATCCCTGTGTCAGGCAACTCGACACCAGGTTGTAGATGTCCTAGCCCTACAGACTCATATCCCTCAGTGTTTCCTAGGTGAGCTATCTTGTTTAGCTGGCAGGTTGTATTTCCCCATTGTGTCATATGCTCGATGTTTTCAACATGACTAGATACACAAGAAGTTTTTCTGGGTGAGCCAATCGGAAGTTCACCTGAAAGGACTTGTTGCAAATATGGCCCGTGTATGCAACATGCATTGCCATATCAAGAGTGCATCCGTGCAGGCATCACTCTCAATCTGTTGTGTTTTCCAAGCTCCAAAATCTCGGCGATGATTGCCGAAGCTTGCGTCTGCATCTCAGAACGCTCGATTGGGGATGCTCAAACCTCACCAATCTGGATCCATCCTGCGATCATTCGGGCCGTCCTGTACCTGACACTAGAAGCCATATATGCACTAAAATACAGGCACAAGGCTCAAGGTTCGAAGTCTAAGAGCTAGGCAGCAGGCGCTCCGAGAATATTGTTGTTCCAATGGACAGTCACCCCGTGAGGCTGTCGCCTCCTTCTCTGACTTAGAGGCTTTTGGAGGCACCGCCTCCTCGCCCAGTCCACCTTTCGTCATCTTCTTTTCCTCGAGCTCGCGATTGCGTTTCCTCGGGGGGCTCCTTAGCGGGCTTGCTCTTGCGATCTTCACTTCGGCCTCTCTTTGCTGTTCTTTCTTCGTTTGGCTTTGGCTTCTCTTCTTCTGCTTTGAGGATCTGAGGGGTCCGTCCTTTGTCTTTCTTCTTCGCGGGGGTCTCTTCCTTTCCTCCCTCTGCTTCAGCTTTCTTCTTTGTCTTCTTGGCCTCAGTGGTTGCTTGGGGCTTGCTTCCCTCCTTATCTTTGTCTTTCCTGTTGCTCTTCTCTTTTTCTTCTTGCTTCTCTTTGTCTTCTTTCTCTTCTGCCTCATCCTCTTCTTTCTCCGTCGGTACAGCCTTGGTTCTGCTGACCTTTGCTGGGCTGCTCTCATTTTTGTGCCCTCTCGTTGCCAACGGCTTCTCACTGAAATCATTCTTTGCCTGCTTCGCGCTGTCAGTCTCTTCCCTGATCTCTTTCTTGTTGTCCTCCTCCTTTTCCTGGTGCAGCGAATCCTCTTCGATCCCATTTTGGTTCTCCTTGTCCTTCATGGATCGTTCCTCCTCCTCCTCGGCCTGATCATCCATCGAATCCTTGGTCTTGCTGCACATATGCTCCTTTGTTTCTGGATCCTCCTCCTTTGTGGCCTCCTTGATCGGATCCTTGCCTTCATCCTCTTTTGTTTTCTTCTCCTCCTCCTCTTCTGTGCATGAATCCTCCGGGCTTTCAGGCCCTTCTTCTTCCTGCCCCTCTCCCTCATATCCATCCGAGACTTCAGGGTCATCCTCCAGCTCCTCTTCCTCGTTGCATTCTTGTGCAAGATCCTGATCCTGTCCTTCATTTGCTTTCCTTATCTTTGCCTTTAAAACACAAACAGGTCAAGCAACCAATGAATTTCGACTTTGATCCTGGCCTTGTACTCCATGACAATATCTTTCAGGATCACCATGTTGGGCAAGTTGTTCCTAGCAAGGAATAATTGTTTGAAATTTGCATATGAAATCTTTCTCTCTCTCTCTCTCTCTCCGACTCTCCCCTTGTCCCTCTCTCTCTCTCTATCTCTAAATCCTTCTCTCCAGCCCCAAGAAATCATAGCGTGGACCTGGTCTTGCGAGCCTTCCTGCTTCGAAGCCTCACGTAGCTCACCATCTCACGCTGAACTTTGGCTTCTTCTTCCGCCCAGGCCTGCCAGAATATCCGCTACATAGATAGATAAATTAAATAGAACAGTACGTCAAGCTACACATGCACAGTAGAGCGAGTTCGCCTTGTACTGGTACTTGTACTTGGCACGTTTCACCATCGGCTTTTTGCCAGCTACATGGACCAAGGCGGCCTGGCAAGTATGAAATCTCAGGGATCGGACCTGTATAAAAATCAACGAAAGAACGAACATGCCAGCTAGACCACCATCTCCCTATAAGTAGGGTAGTTCTCCAAGAACGTCGCCAAAAAGTTCAGGAGAAACTCAAAGTTGTCGGTCCCATGTGGGGCTTCGGCCTGAAGGAGGGTGTTTAGCTTCTGGGCAACAGTATCGAATCATATGAGGGCCCCACGAAATCGACCCCCAGCCCTTGGTCTGATGTATCGACAAAGGAGAAATCGCAGGGGGCCTGATCAGAGTCATCGAGGAATATCATTCATAAACTGTTGCTGGAATACTTGCCTTTTCGCTTGCAAGCTTCTTCGTCACCTTCTTCTCAGAAAGGCCATGATCATCGCAAAGTTTGACGAACCTGGAAGTTTTGGTTGGAGTCATCGAACATTCGAGGGCAAGTAAGGGATGCAAGGGCGAACCTCCGCATCATCATGTTTTGGTATTCCAGCTGCTCCAGGTAGAAGACCTGAAATCATCCGGAGTAATTTTAAGCCATAACCCTCGAAATACATGATCCCCGGCCTTCAAGGTTTCGACCCTCTTGAAGTCCAACGGCGTATGCGGCATGGCTGCTGAGGGCGGAGAAAAGCTAGGCTACGGCTACGACTACAAATATCTTCCGAATAATGGCGATATCCTCCTGGTAACCAAAGCCCTTACCATCGGCCCTGGACATCAAATTTATGACCTACATGCATTGACCCACAGATAGGGCAGGGTAATGAGAAGGACCCCCCAGGTGTCCCACAGCCCCAACCCTTTGCTGAGCCCAGCTACTGAAACAGCAGAAGTAATTGAAATCTCAGCAATCCCAGCATCCCAGTAACGCATAGTCCAACCGACCGTGGCCTGATGTAGATTGGCAGTCGCATGTCTTCCTTTTGCATGTACCTGGAGAAGCCGTTAAGCTTTGAGGCTTCAGGACTAAGGGTTAAGGGTTATTAATTCTTAGGGCTTAGAGCTGAAGGCTTATTTATTTTGGAGTTTCACTGCGTGGCGCACGCCGCGATCGCTCCCAAGCGGCCCCCAGCATCCAGAAAACACATGGCTTGTCAGCTGTCGCGGGTTTGGGCAGCTGGGGATTGAAGGGATATCTGTCTTGGGATTGAAGGGATATCTGTCTTTGAAGAGAAGGGAACTGATTCTCAGTCTGCGAACCCAATCAGCCTCTGCTAAGTCCAACTTTGAATGCTCAGGATCTCAACATCGCACGCTGAAACGCTTCAGAAGCAACGACAGATTTGCAGGGAATCGACATCAGAGAAAAGTAAGGACTTTCACGCTGTTCACGGGTGATTGGGGGCTTTCCTCTGAGACCGCGGGTCCCGAGGTCTTTGGAAGACCAGGGTATATGTATATGTATATGTACATGTACATGTACATGTATATGTATATGTATATGTATATGTATATGTATATGTATATGTATATGTACATGTATATGTATATGTATATGTATATGTATATATATATATATATATGTATATGTATGTGTATATGTATATGTATATGTATATGTATATGTATATGTGTATGTATATACAAGACTGTATAGATGTATGCACCTTCGATCTCATCGGCTCCAGCATCACCGGGCCGGGCTGGAATCACGAAATCTGATACCTCAACGCCTGCAGGCGACAGTGCTTCGGGCTTCGTGTGCAAAACAACAATCGTTTCAACTGCTGTGCCACTTGGCACTTCAGTTTCCAAGTCCTCCATCTCGTTCCAGCGCTCGCGATACTCCATCACATTCTATCACAAACCAGGGGCTGTTGTTATCGCGCTGAGTCAAAGTGGAACGGTAGGGCCACGAGACCCCGGCCATCATCGAAGGATCGACCATCATAGTCGACCGTCTCCGCCATGCAATATGACCTGACTGCAGAACCTGCCAGCCGTAATCAGCAGCCTGCAGCTCATCACTCAAACTGGCCTCCAACACAGCACGAACTGCAGCTTGGTGAGGGTGAAGCTCAGGAAAATCAACTTTTTGAATGCGTGCTTCAAGCTCCAAGCTGTTGCCTTGAAAACGAGCACATCCTCGCCTTGCCGTTGAGGAAACCATCCTCTCTTCACGAGCCTCCTTAAGGAAAGCAGAATCTGCGTCACACTTGTGATCGAACACTTCTCTCGGATCACCACCTCCCTGCCAGAGCGGTCTTTAACAGCAAACTCTATTGATGCACTTTGAGGTCTCCACCCTGGGAGTCGAAGCGGGCGATCTGCTGACTGACGGGCCGAGCACCCGCAGGTTGCGAAAGAAGACGGCGCACATGAAACATCAGCTCCAGAATTTACGATAACAGTGGTAAGGCTCACGGAAATTTTGGGATCGAGCGAGGAACTCTCACTTCTGCGCACAGCCAGGCTTAACCTTGGCAGCCTGTCAACGATTTCCAGGATCGGCTGATTCTGCAGGCTCGTGGCTAGGGCTCGGCATAGGGGCATCACCGAAGTCAGGCGGGAGGACAAGCTGGGTCTCGATGTTGTCCTTAATCTTCCATCTAGTTTTAAGTATTAGGTCTAGCCAGAACATATTCCGACACACTTGGCTGCTAACAAGCTTCCGGAGACAACAATTCATGGGAAATTTCCGAAAATATTAGAAGCCTTGCCTTCGCCTTCCGGATCAGAGGCAACCGATTTTCCTGCTCGGTGAGGTACGTGTTGAGAAAGTCCTGTCGAATTCTTGCACTAGACCACATTCGAGTGTCTAACTTAATATGACGATTCTATGCCCATTTTACACCAGAATGATTAGCTTCGGGCCTTCTGCTTCTGGGTTAGATGTCAGAGTTCTATGGAAACGATGGTCAGAAGCCAATGTAATAGGCATAAACACATACAGGGCACATATGCATACATATATATATATATATATATATATATATATATATTTATATGTATGTATGTGCTACTTCTTGGTCTATTTAGCTACTATGTTTTCTTTATATATATATATGTGGTAAATAATTGAAATAATTGAAATAATTTCAATATGTGAAACCGATTTCAATTATTTCAATTATTTGTGTTACCCAACTACTTGAAACAATTGAAATAATTGAAGTCCTATTGGTCCGTGGGTGTCTTCCACGAAACCCTAGTATTTCAATTAATTGAAATAATTGAAATAATTGAAATAATTGAAATTTCAATTATTCAATTATTTCAATTATTTCAATTATTCGGGTGACCCCAACAATTGAAATATTTGAAATAATTGAAATCTGCCCCATTTCAATTATTTCAATTATTTCAATTAATTGAAATCCTGGGGTTTCGTGAAAGGGGCCCACAGACCACCAGGATTTCAATTATTTCAATTATTTGAATTGTCCGGGAACCCTAAATAATTGAAATAATTGAAATCGGTACATTTCCTAGTTCAATTCAGGAACCACACGATTTCAATTAATTGAAATAATTGAAATAATTGAAACCGACCCCATTTCAATTATTTCAATTATTTGGGTGAGCCCAACAATTGAAATAATTGAAATCGGCCCCATTTCAATTATTTCAATTATTTCAATTAATTGAAATCCTGGGGCTTCGTGAAAGGGGCCCACAGACCACCAGGATTTCAATTATTTCAATTATTTCAATTTTTTGAATTGTCCGGGAACCTTAAATAATTGAAATAATTGAAATAATTGAAATCGGTAGGTTTCCGAGTTCAACTCAGGAACCACACGGTTTCAATTAATTGAAATAATTGAAAAATTGACATAATTGAAATATTTGAAATCAACCCCTTTTCAATTATTTCATTTATATCAATTATTTGGGTGACCCCAACACTTGAAATAATTGAAATCGGCACCATTTCAATTATTTCAATTATTTCAATTAATTGAAATCGTGGGGTTCCGTGGATGGGGCCCACGGATCACTAGGGTTTCAATAATTGAAATGTTAGGGAACCTTAAATAATTGAAATTTACTGAAAGCAAGCCCATTTCAATTATTTCATTTATTTCAAATCCAAGGAATCGGGTATCCCTCGGATCTCCGCCTCCTTCTCTGCTCCCCACCCCCTGCCCCCTTCCTCCTGCCCCAACCCCCCACCCCCCACCCCGTCCCCACCCCAGCCCCCAGCTCCCAGCCCCCACCCCCCACCTATGGAGCCGTTACAATGAACCCTTATAGATTCTTTGTGGAAAAACCTTTACGGGAACTCCCCTTGCGACCCGTGCTTTTGGGATCCGAGTTATTATAAAATCTTAGGGGGCGCCAATTGCGATATATCATTTTGGGATTTGTTGTGTGCAAAAACCTTTGGGGGGACACCCCTTGCGATCTATCATTCTGGTATTTGTTTTATGCAAAAACCTTTAGGGGAAAGCCCCTTGCGATCTGTGCTTTTGGGATCTGAGTTTTTTGCAGAACCATAGGGAGACATGCTTTGCGATTCATAATTTGGGGATTTGTTTTATGTAAAACCTTTAGGGGGACACCCCTTTTTTGCGATCTCAGTTTTTCCCAACCCTTACGGGGACACCCCTTGCGATCTGTGATTTTGGGGTCTTGTCTATGCAAAAACCTTTACGGGAACTCCCCTTGCGACCTGTGAGTTTGGGGTTTGAGTTTTACTAAACCTTAGGGCGGCACCACTTGCGATTTAGGATTTTGGGTCTATTATGTGTATAACCTTTAGGGGGGAACCCCTTGCGATTTTCAATTTTGGGGTTTAGTATATGTAGAACCTTTAGGGGGACACCCCTTGCGATGTGTGATTTTGGGAACTATCTTATGCAAAAACCTTCAGGGGGACACCCCTTGCGATGTGTGATTTTGGGAGTCTGTTTTATGTAAAACCTTTAGGGTGACACCCCTTGCGATTTGTGATTTTGGAACGTGGTTTCGCGAAGAAACTTTATGGGGACACCCCTTGCGATTTGTGATTCTTGAATCTGAATTGCTGAAAAACCTTAGGGGGACACCCCTTGCGATTTGTGATTTTGGAATGTAGTTTCGCGAAGAAACTTTATGGGCACACCCCCCACCCCAACTCCCCCCCTCCCCCACCCCCCACCACCCCCCCCACTACCCACCCCACCACCCACCACCACTCCCCACCCACCCACCACCACACCACCCACCACCCACTACCACCCACCACCCACTGCCTCGCTGCCTCCTTTCCCCTGCCTCCCCCTCCCCCGTGGCTGAGCAAAACCGGCTCTATTTAGAAGCTCCCGCTGTGGGTTTTTACCAGTCGCCTCGTGCTTGGAAACATTGTGCGATTGGACTCTGAAAAAGCAACCAAGCCTACACGATAAGCTCGCTAGTCTTTACAGAGGGCTCCCATATGAAGAAAGCTGCCAAACCATGGAAGACTGCGTAGTCCCGCACACACCGACATAACAAATAGCTTGAAAAGTAGCCGCCTCTTGAAAATGGATACTATCGGCTACATGTCTACATGAAAAGGCATAGACCCCTATCCCTACTGGCCTACCCATCCAGCCATAGACCTTTATCGATAGGGGAGGAAAGATACGGAAGTATGACTTGTAGATGAAAAGCATTGGTTTGGGTCTCGGGGTTAAGAGCTCACAGGAACAGCCTGACAGCAACGGCGCACGTTCTTAGGCAACGTTGTTTTGCGTCGTCGCTGTTATCGAATGCAGTGAGACTATAGTGAAGATGGAGATCATCCGCCACCACTGAGCTGGCTTGAGGTATCGCCAGCAGCACGACCATGCCGACAACATGTCCTAAGCTGTGCTTGAGAACCTTTTTTGTTATGTTTTACGGAACGATAACATTAAACCCCGTAGTTAACATCAGATGTCGAGCAAGGATTTGCCATGGAACGCGGCAGGGAGTGTTGCGACCCAGCTTCTCTCGCCGACGCAATGCATAGTGCCTAGCAGGCTGTGTCCTGTACCCTCGAATGTGACGCCGTGGCAGCGGCGACTACTACGGCCTCGCTGGCCGAGGTGACGACGCAAAGCAACTGCGCCAAGTGATTTGAAGACAGTTTCTACCCTAAAGCCTAACATCTAAGCTTAACCCCTAAACCACGACAGCCTGAACCACAAACACCGTAGCATGCACCACTACACCACAATTTTGTTCACAAGTGCCCCCGGGTGGTCTCACCACTTCACCCTCCCTGTAGAAGGCACGAGTGAAAAAAAAACAATGCAAAAACCAAAATTGTTTAAACATCTGGCTTCAGGGCTGCTCGTTTCTACCGTAGCGCTTAAAGCTTAAACCATTAAAGTATGCACCATAAACAGCGCAGCATACACCACTAAACCACAATTTTGTTCACAAGTGCCCCCGGGTGGTCTCACCACTTCACCCTCCCTGTAGAAGGCACGAGTGAAAAAAAAACAATGCAAAAACCAAAAATTCTTAAACATCTGGCTTCAGGGCTGCTCGTTTCTACCGTAGAGCTTAAAGCCTAAGCCATTAAAGTATGAACCATAAACACCGCAGCATACACTACTAAACCACAATTTTGTTCACCCGTGCCTCTGGGTGGTCTCGCCACTTCACCCTCCCTGTAGAGGGCACGAGTGAACAAAAAGCAACGGAACAAGCAGAAACCCGATAGCTGCTCGGATCTAGTTGTTGATATGGCAAGAGTTATATACAAACTCGAAATTCTAGCCTAAGCTTAAGCGCACGGTTAATGGAGTTGTTGTAAACGAAGACAAGGGTCTGGTGCAGATAAATTGCCAGCAGTCCATCGCTTCGATGCACAGTGTGTGGAGCAAAAACTAGCCGACATGCATGGTAAACAGCATGAGCCAAGTTTCCGAGCGCAAGCACGTGCTGGGGTTTTGTTTTGGGCGAGAGTCAAAAGTCGACATCAACGACTGCAAACAGCAGTGCTCGGTCCGATGGTGATACTCGACAACGATGTATTCCTGCACACTCGCGTTCCGCTGCAGGCACGCTCGCAACAGATGTTTTACTAGCAAAACACTTAGCGAGTGGTTTGTGCAGAGGGGAATGGCTCATGTCCTCTAAGTCGTATGCAAGACATAGCTTTGAGCTATTGCGGCAGGTTCTTGAGTCACAAAGTTGCATTTGAGACAGGGCACGGAACGAAGATTATACGGACAAGCGGCTCCGCACAGAAAATGGGCTAGGGCCACAAAGCGGTGACTCGCCCTACGTACATGGCTGACCATAACATCGTGCTCATAGTGTTATTGCGACACCTACGAATTGGACAAGGCATCGATGTCCGTTCGCGTTCAGAACCTAAAACTTTGTCAGAAACTAATACCTTCCGTATTGTTCAAAAGCAGACACGGATTCACAATGGAAACTAAACCAGGATGACAAGCTCCGGCGGTTCGGGCTCGGAGGCAAGCTTTACCACAGCAGCACTTCGTCAGCAGTCGAACATGTAAGTCGTAAGTTATGTAAAAGCACGCAGGATTTCCAAAGTCTACATGACTGATAGTCGATCCAACGCTGTAGCAGCGCATCTTGGCCAAAGGTATTCTCGTGCATTAAACACTCTAGTGTTTGTTATGTCTCCACGCGCATGACTGTCGCCTTGGCTGAAATTTGACTGCACGGCTATGAACAGAACTATAACCGGAATGGTTTAGGATTGTTGGAAGAGCACATGGACTGCTCGTTTTCGGCACTGCCGAACATGATGAATAACCAGATCGAAGTGCTCCACTGAGCCTGTGCAGTGTAAGCAGTTTGAATGTAATGGAAATTTTCGAAATCTTACATACTTCTTCTGTCAACTGCTTGACAAATTCATTATGCAGTCGCTGCTGCACGACTTTTGTGGCGACCTGGCCGTATTAACGGAGGCAGGACGCGAAGTGAGCACGGATGACGCCTAGTTCGCTGCCGCTTTGGCGGCGGAGGAATTGCGGAGCTAGGCCTTTTAAATGATTTGGAAAACAGCTTCGGAGCTGCTTTGACTGCTGCTCGGGTAGCTTTGCGTTGCTCTGCACCAGCCAGCAGCGCTCTTTTGGGCGCACGTTCGTCCTGCATAAGCTCCCGCCACCAAGCCTTCCAGGATTTGGAATCCCAAATGTCTGCCATGCCGATAAGGCGATGGGCTAGTTGCGTCTGTGTATTCTGTCGTTGCAAAGAATGATATAACGACAGATTGCGACTGCTAAGTTTCACAAACTGGAAAAAGATCAGCTTAGTCTCCAATGTGGAGCGATGCATCGCCACGTTAGTTCTCCAAGCTTGCACCACACTACGCCACAACAGCAACTAAAAGATATATAACCTTTGCCAAGCAGCGATTTCGTGACTCGTTAGATGTAGTACCGCTCGGCAGCAACGGCGTTTGCGAGGGCGAACACGTGTGGCGGTATCTCGTGCCGTTGAACAGCCATTGGATTTTCACAGGCGATGTAAGATTAATCAAGAGTCGATGCAAAGTGGGACCGGAGAAGGTTGTTTTTGTCAGTTCGTCGTGGAATAGCGTACATATTGCAGCCATCGCCTCCAAGAGCTGTGACTCTGTTCGCCAAGGACTATCAGGATCTAGCTGTTGCAGAATGCCCATAGCTTCGGCTTGAGGCATACTTGCTTAGGAAACCAACACAGACAGTCTCTTCTCTTCACCCGTGTAATGAATTCGCTGCTGTCCGGTGTACATAGGTCCCCATGCAGCGGCATGACATTCCACATCAATGTTGCGAAATTTGTTCATAACTGTGGCCAGCCACCTGCTGCCTTTGGTTCTCTTGTTGCTATGATTTTGTTCGTAAACCATAACGATATGCATGGCATCCAGGCCAAGCGGCTGCAAGTTTGGACATGTATTCTTCAACGTCGCGAAAAGCTCCACACTCGGCGAGTCTGATGCCATGTGCAGAACTTGTGCTCGCTGACACAATGTCAGCATGCTGCTCAAGCCACTTGCAATCTCGCGCGAACCTTCTGACCGAATGCCACACAAGCCGAGCACAGCATTCGTACGTCCACGCACTGTAAGAAGTCTGTAAGCAGCCTCTGAATCCGCAATTGCCGCAGCATCACGACAGTCTTGACTGCTGTTGAAGTGCGCTTGGCCAATAAGTTTCATCATGCATTTGACCGTGGCATCGATGCTTAAGTATTCGAATTCGGTATGAGCCTCACACTCTTGTAGAAGATCTTGGAGCTTGACTTTGATCTGCGGCGATTGAGTTAAGTCTTCCAATACATTGCACCAAATCGAATGACTCGCTGCTGGCAGCATGGAGCATAACCGGCCTTGATTTCGCGCGGTGGAAGATGTGAAAGAGGCTGCAATTTGCCGGAAAGATGCTCGGCTTGCCACAGCATTGCACATAAAGTCATTTGCGAGGGAACGGTCGTAGTAGACATTTCCGACGCGTCTCAAATCCTTTGACTTCTTGATTTTCTGCATCGACATGAAAGAAGGACCTTTAGTAGTCAAGCAAAGGCGTATGTCCTTGTCAGTGACATTCTTCTTGGAAGACACTCCAGGTTTGACTTGGTTTCGAAGAAGTTCTGCTGAACGACTCATGTATTTGCTGTGGGATGCTTGTCGTGCAGCGTCGTCATCGGCACATGGCAGCAATGACGCGAAGTTGCTTTGTGCGGATGCCACAAACCTTTTGCTGACACTGTGGTGTTTGGTGATATGCGTCAATAAGTAGGTTCTTTTTTCGAAGCGTCGCCAGGGACACAACGGGCAGACTTATGCCCCGAACGATTGTCCCTTCTGCTGTTGAATTTGGCGAGTTGCGTCCTTCACTTCCTGTTCGAGAAGGTCTCGTAGATGTTGCCCAACTTGCACATCTGCATCGCCAGCCTCACCACCACCACGTCTGTCTGTAAACAGGCAACGGTTCGAAGTGCAACCTGCGACTAGATCCAGTAGTTCTGCTTCCGAGGCCGTCATTTCTGGCTTCACGCTTTGGACACTGAAAAGACAATGCTGAAAGTCTCACACGTTTGAGCAAGAATCTCCTCTAAAGAGAGGATTGGCAAAGTTCACGCTGTGCGCTCGTGGAAGATTTGGAGCTGACTTTCGGGCAAGACTTTAGCACCAAAGCAGCGAGGCGCGCCATCAACATCAGCGTGTATGAAAAACACGTATTTGGTGTGGCAGGCAATGTCAAGCATGGCTTCAAGAACCTTTGATTGTACCAGTCTTTGTAGCATCTGTAGCCACGTTCTTTTGCACGAGTGTTCGCTTGGTTGACCTTCTGCAGCAACTCAGTAACAAACAGCCATTCGCCCTTTACACATGCATAAGGGAAGGGCATGCAGTTGCATGGCAATGAAAGTAATGTCAATGACGTCTCGTCGACTGAATCCAAATGCGAAGATGTATTGTCCAAGTCCGACAGCTGCTCCGCCAACGATCTGAAGCGCTTTTCTTCTATAAAGATACGGAGCCCAGTGCGTTCAAATATCTGAGCTTGAGCTATGTCAGCGAAGCTCTTACCGCGTGCTTCTGTTCCACAGCCTGCACAAGATCATCCAACAGTAAAAGGCCATCGAAGTGCAAAGCAATGTGCTGGCGTGGTGCATGGAGATCTTGGAATAAATCCAACATACTGCTGAGACAATAATCCTCTGCAGCATACCTCTGGCCAGCTGCTTTGCTTGAATCCGTCGGTGCCATCTTTCACTTTCTCATATATATCCGGGCACAGACTTCGGGCGAGCCAACGTAAGCATCGGCTTTCCTTGGACAAATCCTCAATGAATTGCTGGCTTTTTTCACAAATATCGCCGGCTGAGGACACTGCTTGACCATTAGCTACTTGCAACAGAAGTGCCTTGCCTCGGACCGGACTGCATTGCAGTATGTTCTCGCACATTGCTTGTCCGTTGTCAACAATAGCACGCCATGATTTCAAATTTGGCAACACGTCATTCAACGACGCGTCGAGCTTGTCCACAAGCTGCACCACGATGATGAACATGCTCGCGTGGAAATAAAAATCCAGCATGTTCTTGCAGACAATGCTGCGAAACACCTTTGAAAAGCTTTGTGCACCCGAGCCGTTCATACTGCGGCGACAACGCGTTTCCAGCTTATATGCATATGTTCGTTGAACAACCATTTCATGTTGCTCCACACCGACGGCGCCGTCTTCGAGATAGTTCTGCATTTCGGCAAAGAGCGCTTGCTCTTGTTGAATATGGTTGCGCATTGATTGTACTAAAGCTTCCTGGTCATCTTGGAGCACGTGTTGTTCTTTTGTGGGTACACCTGCGCCGCGGCCTTTGCCTTTTTTCAGCTCTCTGGCTTTTGTCCTATTAGCTTGTTGCAATACCTCGTTGTTTGCAAGACGGCCTTTATGACTCAGCATGCGTCGCTTCAGCGACTGGCAATCATATGCTTCTGGAAGAGCAGCTGCGTAATCATGCTTCATGTCGACGACATCCGTCATAGATTTTGTCGTGGAGACTTTTGGTGAAAAGACGTCGGTTAGACCCAACTTGGGCAGCGTCAGAGAGCTCTTGTGCATGAGCTTATGCGCAGCCAATGCATCCAGAACGTCATCTACATCTTAACCAAACACGTACATCTAGCCAGTAACCACAACAACGAACAAAAAACAAAACAAAAACCAAAAAAAAACAAAAAAAAAGCAACAACATCATAGAGAGCAGGTGGGAGGCCTTGGGGGCATTTTTTTTGTGTTTTTTTGTTTTTGTTCCTAGGGACCTTTTTTTGTTTTTTTTGTTTTTTTTTGCTTTTTTTCCTAGGACAAAAAAAAAAAAAAAAAAAAAAAAAAAAAAAAAAAAAAGCAACAAACACAACAAAAACAATGGTCCCTAGGAAAAAAAGCAAGAAAAAACAGCAAAAAATAGAAAAAAAAAGGTTCCCAAGGCCTCCCAGGGCCTCCCACCTGCTCTCTATGATGTTCTTGCTTTTTTGTTGGTTTTTCTTTTGTTTTTTTGATGTTTGTTTTGTTTCTTTATTTTTTTGTTGATTTCCAGAGGTTACAGTGTTTTGAATGTCTTAAAGATAAGCCCCACAAGAAATATTGCGAACGAGAGCAACGGAGCACAGCGGCTCGTCATCCAGGAACACTGCAAAAGAATGCGCATCTCACTCGAAGCAAACATTGAGCCAGCGAACACCTGTGTGAGCAGGTATGTCGCACTCAGCGAACATGTCCGGGTTTTTCCGGAGTTGCCAGCAAAGGGTCGGCGCGGAAAGGGTTATGAATTGATGCCCACATTCGAGTCTGAGGCGGGCTGTTTCGAACACGGCTGTTGATGCCAAGAATAAGAACGCGAATCTCCGAGGAAACTGCAATGTCCAAGCTTGCGCGCTGACAAACAGGATGAGCAGCCCGCCATGAGTAGAGATTGTTTTCTCGTCGAAGAAAAGTTTGCCCGGACCAATGAAGCAAAACTCTACAAATCGAATCTGCGGGGATGGCCTGCATGTGTCGGTACTGCAGCTTGAGTACGTCTGCGTGTGCAAGCATAGGCATCAACTTTGCAAAATCTCTTCCAGGCCGAAATGCGCGGGGTTTTGCATTCCGCAAATCGACGACTGAGCCTCAAAGCACTGAATCCTGTCCTAGAATCTCAAGAAATGCTTTGCTACACAGGCGCAAGTGTAGAAGCTCGTGCGCTGCAGCAACACAAGCAATGATCTCCCCTTGTAGCATCTGCGACACAGAAGAGATTTGATCGTTCATCAGAGTGGAGCCGCCTGCATAGTCATGTAAACGCTCATCTCCCCGATCTGCAAAGGCCATTTGCATGTTTGCCTTGCAGACTTCGTCCCCGATGCAATACATGTAAACATGAGCATCATTCTGCATCTCAAGACATGAAATATTCACACGGCGTACATTTCTGCCATCAACTTTCACGCGCAGCAATTGTCTTTCCCAACAGATATCAAACACACGGACAGATCGAGTAGAGACAAGGAAAGGACATGAAACATGAGCCGGCGGCTGTTTCGACGCGGACCACGTAAGACCAGTTCTACCTTCTGTGTGCAATGGAGCTTCGAAAGTACAAGAGCAAGCGTTTCGTGTCTCCACATCAGATCGTGCCGGAAGTGAATATGCTTGCAAAACCAATCACTATAGCCTTGAGTTGGCAATCGCATGACATAGCAATGCAGGCTTGACCTGCCATGCTCTGGGTTGAGTGTAGACTCGCATATGCCGTTGGATACAAGCGATATGTTGGAGCTGCAGCGAACAAAATTTGCGAAGGCAATCTCCTGAGGTACACCGTGTGCTGAATCTTCCAAGGCTCTTGGTTCACGATAACGTCATGTAGTTCTGAGCACGTTGAAACCAGAAAAGCTAAATCCTGCAACTCTAGATGCTGAAGTAGTCCTTGCCGAAGTGGAAAGCTGAGAGATAGCAACGCAAGCGTCACATCTTCGAATGGTGGACGCACCAGGCAACCAGAGACACATACCTCCGCCGCCGTCGCTGTAGGGACAACGCAAAGCACAAGGCGTTGTTCTCCTAGCGCGAGGCAGACCTCCCACTGCAAGTCTACAGGAAAACTTCGCACGCATTGCTAGAAATCGTGTGTTGACAAACGGCGTCCAGGGCCGTGAACAAAGAAAACCGCGGCATTTCGTGCTGTCAAGAAAAGTCTCGCCATGCTCTCCAATCTTCTGTTAATTGGCAGATACTGTCGCCGCTCACCATCTTCTTGCACGATGAAGCCGTGACATGTAGCCCAGCAAGTTTGCAGGAACGTTGCCCCTCCTGTGACATCCTTCGTGCAATCATCTTCAAGCGGTACCTCTACAGGTTCACTGTAGCTACAAACACGACTTGTTTCAACGAGAGCTACCAGCTCTGAATCGACGCCTTCACTCACACTGAAGCCCGCCTGATCGGCATCAAGACTCACGGACCCGTGTTGCAGTTCATCTCCAGCTGCGTTCAGCCTTAGCTCATCCGCAACTTTCAATCGCAAGCAAACGCATCAACAGGACATTGCATGCAGAAGACGGTTTGTCGGATGCTTTGACATCGTGGGTATAGACATTCGCGCTCTCGTCCAATGCCTGGAACAACACAGAACTACTTCTCACACATTTGCTGTACAATCATTACATGCATCCTTCTGCTTCAATCCGGAAGACGCCGTCCACTTCCAGAAGGTTAAGTGATTCTGCTCTTGCGACCACGCCAGTGCTGTGCCACGCCGAGTACGTAAACTCAGCGGCTTGCATTCATGCGTTCTGTGCGTCTGGTTTACCCAAAGACCTTCTTCATTTCTGCGAACAGCTACAAAATGCTCGCGGAAGCAAACCACGAAGCTGCCGTGGGAGTTCAATGCGTGGATGGGGACAGCAACCACGCAACGCTTCAGTGCGTCTCGGTGGCTTCTGTTATAGTCCACTATCCGTATGCAGCTTAGCGGCCCATATGGCGCCAGAAACCGATCCCCATCGGCTTTGGCCCAGAACGGTCCATCGCGGGAGTAAGGAATCTTGTAACCAAGACCACGCAAGCTGTCAATAAGGCAAGTGTCAAGGAACTTGTCATTATTTCCTGAAGCAATATAGCAAGATCTTCGCTCAACCACTGGCAAACGGGTTAAGTGGAAGTCTTCCCTGGCCTTCCTGGCGCACACCACTGTGCAGCGGCGCCATTCCTGTTTCGGCGTCAGAGCTGCATTCTCACTTGACAGGTGTGTTTGCTTTGCATAATGGCACAGCACTTCGCTCCTGCTCGCAAGTCCTGGAGACGAAGCTTCGCGGTAGAGCTGGCGGCGCTTGGCCCTGGTCCGTTTACAAATACCCTAGCAAACGGATTGCTACGGTATACAAGATGAGTGCTCGAACCTCGACACCGACGATAGCCTCTGTACCAGGCTGTTCGACTGATACGAGACCATGACCGCAAGTCCTATCAGAACATTGGCGTTTTAAGTCATTGTCGGCAAACTTTGCGATTGCAAAGTCGTGGAACCTTTGCCACAGAAATCTTGGTGGTGGTCAACCGGCACCGCTTCCAGATGCAGTGTATCAGGGTCGTGCCTTACATGCGATGACGGTTTCGGAAGATCTTGAACACATATTGTTTGAGGGCTCTTTGTTTCAGGCTAGAAACACCAGTCGCTTGGCGGATTCCACAGGGAATTCGTCGAAGCTGCAATTTGCTGCTGTCCAAATCCAGTAGATTCCCCTGGAATTTGTTGCTGGCGAGCGCAACAACAACAACAAGACCAAAAACACATGCGCAACTAATGTCAGGCAAGATGACATCGAAGATCGCCAGGCACATCCTCACTGAGAAGGGCCATGGTCCTCCGCTCGGCATCGTGGTGAGCCTGCACCACAAGCGATCACATGAGGTCGTATCGAACTTTAAGTCTGTCCAACCTCCATCCTTTGCAGGTACAGTCCTGCAAGATTTGTCTTCACCTTGTCAGGAGCATTGAAATCCCGTGGAAGGTTTCCTACAGCACAGGTTCAACACTTGGCATGCAGACATTCGCCTTGCGCGGATACATGCCTTGAATGCAATGTCTCCCGACCCCAGGGAGTAGCTCCTCATGGCGAGTGAATGATGATGGTGTTGTTCCTTGGATTGTTCTATCATAAAGCCTGAACTTGACGTGGAAGTCTTTCATGGTGAGCTGTACCTCTACAAGACAAGGTCATCGAAATCTCTATGCCAGTCACAACGAAATAGACTTAGATGCGTGCTCTGCGTGGATCAGCTCTTGCATGAACTTTTCACCATGTCCTTCCTTTAGGATCGATGCCTGTCGCTGCCTGCGCACTTTGCGAAAACGGAAACGCAGCTCGGGTTGAATGGAGTTGAATCTTCAATCAAATTTCGAACGTTGCACCTTGCGCGCTCATCGCGCCACATGAGCACCATTTCCGGCCTGTGGCTGATGAACAGTCAGTGTTGCGTGATGTTGTCAGCGCAAGATCCGAGAGGAAAGAAGGCCCCGGGCTGTGTTTTCTGCCAGCGTCCAGCATCATTTCAAAACCCTGTCACTGTGTCGTTCATTGGATCTAAACTTGACAAAAAAGAACAATCAAGCAGGATCCACATAACGACATGTGCTTGGCGGTGCTGGAGACCTCGTCGGGTTCGGCCGTGCTTGCGGCCTCACACCTGAGGATGACATACTTGAATTCCATTCTGTCCAAAACCGTGTGCTTGCAGGCCCAGTCGCCGATTGCATCCTCCACAAACAGCTCCGAGTCCTTCATGTGACTAGAGAACAGCACTCGAAACAGCGGTATCTTTTGGATGTTACGCGGCTCTGATTCAAACTAGCATCTGCGAGCAGCCCCGGCGAGTGACGCGCTCATTGTCAACCTGAGACAAACGCAAAGTCACACGAGTGTCCAGAGTCAACAACAACCAAAGATTTTCCAGGATACCCTGTTCCAACTGAAACACGTGTCCAACATCAGTTCGGCGGTATCAGCTGAATTTTTCGAGTTGCGTAGTCTAGGAACGTGACACGTGACATTGGGCGTGCGACTGGGGTAAGGTTGCCTGCCTCTAAGCACGAACTTGTGCTTGAAAGCAAGTTCACAGAAGACATACATCAGAACCAACATACTGATAAATTGAACTTGCTGTTTCTAAACGAGAAATCAAATCAGACACGTAACTCCACTTCCTCGTCGTTGAACCACGGATACTGCGAGAAGCGGTTCATGGCAACCTCAGCTCAGTGCTTTGCATGAACACAAGCAGCAAACAAGTCAATCACGACATGTTCGCTCTTGGTTGCCGACAACGATGTTGGAAACGATGTTGTAAGCAAGTCTTAAGTTACAGAAAGTTGCTAGTTGCTCAAGCCGAAACTTTACGGAGAGTCGTTGACGGCTGCTGTTCAAAGCATGGATACGCAAGCTCGGGAAAGCACTCGTAGTAGCCAAGTTAAAGCTTCGTTTTTTCAACTTTCCGCAGTTCGCTCGGACAGCTCTCTTCTCAGCGGTGTGGCGAAGATTTCGTAATTTCTGAAGAGCATGAGTCAGCTTGGTAAAGCGGTCTCGGCTTTGGCCGGGCTTGAACTATTTAGTTTGCTTGTGCGCACCCTTGCCCACTGGCTTGCAGTACATTGGCAACTACTGCCCGGTAAGAGAACGCGCTGGCCCTAAGGGCTGCCAGCATTCGGAAGAAAGAAATCGAACACTGTATCTCATCTACAGGTTTTGTTCGTCTACGAAAATCTGGTCTTGAACAGATGATTAGCTTCTAGCTACTACGGCAGAGATAAATCTTCAGCCGAGCTTATTCTTGAGCCAAAGTTGCGTTACGCGCGAAGCAATTGAAAGCACACGTTGCATGGTCCGGCCAACGGTACCATGGCTTCAAAGCAATGTAACAAACTCTACAAGATGGAGCCTTGCTCTATGTACATGGCAACCCACGACATAATGCTCATAGCCAGTATTGCGACACCTGTGAATTGGACTAGCTATCGAGGTTGTTCGCACTTCTCCATGCAAGTTTAACGACACCACTTACAGCCGCGCCCCGGTTGACGCTCTCAGCCTCAGCGGAGAACGGGGAGTTCCGCATGCTCAAACTCTGCTGTACCAAAAGAGCAGGCAACCGTCCTAGGCATGACACTCTCTTTTGCGCTGCAACGGGCAACAGAGCGGTTCGCCGCAGGTGTTGTTCGTTTAAAGTCGAACTCGCCGTTTTGGGGCGGTTCGCTCCCTTCGGGCATGGGAAAAGCCTCTGCCGCCTGCATTTAGAAACATAGCAGCGCGTGTCATGCCGGAGTTCGGTCCCTTTAGAAAACGGGGCACAGGGGAAGCCACACGAAACACGCTTGTCCCATCCACTCTTGTCCGCGTTTTTGAAGCTTCGCCTCAACTCACAAATGCACTCACATAAAACAAAGGCGGATCGCCAGTCCGCCCACTGTACATCGGAGCCTTTGGCCCCCATTCTGGCGGAACGCCTGTGCACAGGGCTTACTCCCGAAGAGCTCTTTTTGAGAGCTTCAGAGGCGGTACCCGCCCACGGCCGACCTTCTAGCTGAATCATCAGCTGGTAAGTCAGCTTCTGCTTGGGCGGTATCGCCTGCTTCCTCCCTTCCCTCAATCGTCGCAGAAAATGCCGAGGGTTGAGCTTCCGGCGGATCGTTGCCCTGCTGAGGAGGAACTGGCCGCCTGGTACCTGGATCTTCCGGAGAATTGGCGGGAGGTCGTGGAAGATCTGGCCGCCCGGCTGCGGTTGTACTGGTCGGTGCCGACGAGCTCGCAGTCGAGGTGCTCGATGTAGCATTCCCTTGGGGTGGAGCACCCGTGTGGGGTGGTGCACCCGCCGACTTGGAAGCTGTTGTCGGCTCCGCTCTCTCCGCATCGGCCCGGACTCTGGCCTCCAAATAGTCCAGGAATTGCTCCATCGTGTAGCAATCCCCGACTTCGTCTTGGGTCCAGGTGACACCTTGCCTTTCCAGCCGCTCCAGCCTGTTCAGCAGGTAGAGCCGGTGGGAGCGACCTAAGCTCATCATCGGAGGCAAGGTCCTCACCGTTTGCAAGGGTGTGGCCCTGGGCTGTAGCGCCACGTTGCCCTGCGCCACTTGGTGCTGTACCGCACGAAAGCGAGAGCGATGTCGCTGGAAGGCAGCCGCCAAGGTCACTCCAGCCTCGAGGTCAGCCACATACTTTGGGTCATTCCTGGCAGTGTCGTTGGTGGCTTTCACCTTGACGTTGCCTGACCCTTCCTAACCTCGCAGCTGGGCGGTACGCCTGATGGTGTCGGCCAGCAGTCCTCCCATGACGGCACTGGAGCTGCTCGCCAAGTTCTCCAGGAGTGCCCTCGGCTGCCCAGCGTTCAAACCCCTCATTCTTTGCTCCAGCTCCGCGCACTCACTCACTCACTCTCTCTCTCTCTCTCTCTCTCTCTCTCTCTCCAGCGGACCACCTCTGCAACCTCATCCTCGTTGAGGTCAATGTCGTTCTCGGCCTCCTCATCGTCGGAAACCACACATTGCTCCTTGTTGCGGTTGCACATAGGGCAAGACGACTTGGAGATGAGCACCCCAAAAGAACACCGTTTGCAAAACCAATGCATGGCTCTCCCCACTGTGTTCCCAGAGCCGGCACCGGCGGGTGCGAGGATTGGGCGGAGTCGCCAGCACCTCCTTCCGCAGGCGGTACGCCTTCATCGGGTGGAACCGCAGGTTCATCGCCCAGCATCCGCATGGCCCAACGCCCCATAACATTTCGAGCTTGATCTGCTTCAGCGTAGGTCTCCGCCAAGAGAAGCTGGTGCAGTGGAGCCGGGTAAATGCATGGGAGGTCAGTTCGACCAGGGCGTGGTGGCCGCTCTCCTGCCCGATAGTCCTGACCAAGACTCGGATTCCGAAGAAAGTCTTGGTACGTGAACATAGTGCGGTGGTCACCAGTCGCAGGGCTTAGGGGCGGTAGGTCACCTTGAGGTTCAGGGTAAGCCTCCTGCAAATCCATGAAGCACGGGTTGCTCTGGTTGGCCGCGTAGATCCGGGACATATAGCCCTTGCGACGGGCCCAGTGCAGAATGTCCTGGGCTATCCGTCTGATGACGATGACGCCGACCCGTCCCCAGGATTGCAAGCCGCACAAAGCCCGACGGCACATAACAACATGTTGGAAGACGGACCAGGGCAGCACCATATGTGGCGTCGACTCATCCAGCGCCCGAACGGTGAACCAAAGCGCTTCTCCATTGGAGACCACAATGGCCATCGGTCGGTCCTTTTCTGCAGGTCCCCTTGCTTTCTTAGGGGCCGGCCCGGGTGGAGGCTCCACCACCGTTTGAAGACCCCTCATGTGCAAAATCCCCTGGCGCATACCTCTTCGGCTCCACTGGGGTAGGTGGAAGCTGCTGGGCGGTGCGCCCATGCCCTTCCCTTTGCCCATGCCTTTGTTGGCGAAATAGGAACAGCTCCAGGTGGGAGTCGGCGAGCTCGCTGAGGCCGTGGCTGCCCCGGATGGTGACACCTCAGGTTCTTCCTCCATGCGCTCGCTCTCGGCTAGGCCGGGAGGTGGGCCACCCAAAGACTGAATTGACTCCCACGCCTTCGCCGAAGCCTTGCCACTGTAAGCCTCTTCTGCCAGAGCCCCAAGACACCCATCAATGATGTCTCGCCTGTTCAGCACCACTGTGGCTGTAGACGCCCGAGGGTGGAACAAAAAAAGCATCCGGAGAGGGGCCATTGTTGATAAGGGACCCGTGTTTGGGACGCCAACAGCTGCAGCCCGGGCATTGATTTCTCTTACAGAGATTTCATCCTGGCAGTTAGGGCATATCAATGGGTTGCCTTCTCCAGCACGTTCCCCAGGGCATGTTGGTAACGTCCGCAACCATTGCACCCGTAGCGATGAGTCCACTAGGTTCCCCGCATCCTCCGCAGATTTAACGGATAGTGGAGGGGAACCAAGAAGGCGGTGGCGCCTTCGTAGGAATCCTCTCCTGTGGGGTTGCCTTGGGGGGCGGAGCGCCCGACCTCGGAGCCTGCGAGGGCTTCGGGGCTGGAGCAGCCTTTTTCGGTGGCGGAGCTGAGGAAGGACTGTTAGGTCGTGCTTTCGGAAGGTCGTAGGCTGGTCGTGGGATCCGACAGACCGGGCAGCTATCTCCTGGAGGAGGGGCCGGCTTGGGCCGTGACTCCCTTGTGCTCGATGGGGGTGGTGGCGGTGGCGCCTTCTTTGTGCTCGTGCGGGGTGGAGCGCCAGCAGACGAAGAGTTGGGCTCAGGCCCATCCAGGGCCTCCCCTGTTCCCCCGTGTCCACTAGCTTCAGGACCACGAAGAGGCCACGATCTGGACTTTTGCCTTGGGCATTGGGGGGACCCTCCTGGGCGGTGATCGCTCGGTCGGCGCTCGTAGCGCCACCTTCGGTGGTTGCGCACCCATCCGCATCGCATACACCATGCTTCGCCCCAGTATTGATGGTGACCGCATTGGTTGCAGCAACGTAGGACTCGTCCACAGCGAACATGCTGGTTTCCGTCGATATCAGGCCCAGATCCTCGAGGACTCCGTCTCCGGGCCAGTGGAGAACGGCGTCCCCCAACGACCCTTGCCCCTTCCTCTTGCAGAGGAGCTGGGGCCGGGACCGCGCCCAGGGGGCGGTGGCGCCTTACCGGTGCCCTTACTTGACGGTGGCGGTGACAATCTTTCCCACGAGGAACTCGAGCTTTGAGGGGGAGCTTTTGGCGGTGGCGCCTGATTCCACCACCCATGGTGGGGGGCGGTACCGGTGTGATGGACACTTGCAGGCTATTTGACATGCCCTTGCTTGCAACAGTGTAAGACATCTGCACGAAAGACACGTCAAATAGACGCTGAAATTTTCGCCGGCCGAGAGCATGCTGTGCCGCGAGAGCATGCTGTGCCGCAGTTCCCCGGCCAGGAGGGCGCGGAGGGCGCGGAGGGCGCTGAGGGCGCGGAGGCGCTGAGGGCGCGGAGGGCGCTGAGCGAGGCGCTGAGGGCGCGGAGCGCGCTGAGGGCGCGGAGGGCGCGGAGGGCGCTGAGCGCGCTGAGGGCGCTGAGGGCGCGGAGCGTGCTGAGGGCGCTGAGGGCGCTGAGGGCGCTGAGGGCGCGGAGCGCTCTGAGGGCGCTGAGGGCGCTGAGGGCGCTGCTTGGGCAGGGCGTGTGGGTTAGTATGCACTTACATACTTTTATTAAGTAGATACAGAAGTTACAGCATATAGGTAACTACAACATAGCATGTCTTATAAGTCCACATATCGTAACTCAGTTATCGGACTTAGCTAAGTGCACATAGAAGATGTAGATAGCAACATTCCCATAGAATGAATGCAACATTCGAAGTATACATAAACGCCGTCGTGCAGGCCAAAATTGCTCGCAGGCAGGTGCAAATTCATGTTTTTCTAGGTGCATTCACTCCATCATGGCACAACCCTGACTCTGCCAGGGCCTTCGGGCACATACAGGCATGCAGACTGAATGCCCGATGAGGCCACGAAACGAGCCCCCTCCGCATTCTGCTGGTACATGTTTCGACCAAGGCCAGCAAACGGCTGCAGCAAAGTGACAAGGTCGCCGGAGCCGAGTCGTGCATGCAACCACACTTCGGCTACATCACCGGACTTCAGCTTAACAAAGTCAGCTTTGTGGACAATGCAGCCAGGTGAAACCTGAGCTGCAAAAGCCCCTTGAGCTTGGCCCACGGAAGCACTCACCAAACTCGCCATGAGAAGAAGGCTCGCAGGCTTGGGGGGGATCAAATGCGGCTGCACAAGTCCGGTGCTGCCTTCCATTTTTAGGAGGAGCCGGCCGAGCACATCCTTCATGATGGCATCCTCGAAACCCTTAGTAGGGTTTTTGATGTGATCTGCAAAGTTCTTGACCTCCTTGTGCTTCCTCTCGTGCGTAAAGCACGACACCAGGTCTTTGCTTGCAGCCATGCTGCCCAGGTGTTGGGCATAATGGAATTTCGGAGTGCAGTGGTCTTCGCCATGTGCTCTTATGAAGGCTTGGCAATGCTGCTGTATGGCTCCTTCCAAACCACGACTGGCATCACTTTCGCCACGATTGATGGACAAAAGAATGTCCAAGACAATGCACAACTTCAAGAAAGACCTGACGGCCAACTTGAGTGCATCGTCCATGCTAGACACATCCAAGCTCAGCAGAAACATCCGCACCAAAGGATAGGCATTGAGCCCTTGCGAGGCTGACGACTTGAACTCGTTCGGCGAGGTTTTCTTTTTGAAAAGCTGCAATGTCTCATTGATTCTACCACGAAGGTTCTGGGGCCATTGGATCTGCATCATGTAAGCCAACAAAGTCTCCGCCGAATGACCGGCACTGTACAACAGGGGCAGCAATAAGCCCATTTCTGTTTGCCCCAGGCCCGTCACGAGAAACACGTGCATCCAGTCAAACATTAACGACTGCACGAGTGGCATGGACCGATAATGCAGGACTCCATTGGGGTTGCAGTTGAGACCCAAGGATTGTTCCAATCGAGTATAATCCTTCTTCGACATCGTCGCCTGCCGCCTTTCCAGTAGCTCGTGTGCCCGAAAGATTTCAGCATCTGTCCGGAGGACGAAATCGTTCGGATCCGTGCAGGATATGCTCCTTAAAGTGCCAGTCGCATCGTAATCTTCAGCAGCATTGATTCTGCTGATGATGTTGGAGCACAGGGGACACGGCAAGGTCCCCGATGCTCCTTTCACATCAAAAACAAACTTCCAAGCTGATTCGTCGCCCAGCATAGATCCCAACTTTGCGAAAAACATGCATCTCTGCCCATCGGGCATCGTCAACATGCAGCCAGTCGTCAGAGCTTTCACAGGGCCTGAGCTGATCAGTTCGTGGGTGAGGCCTGAAAGTCCTCCTAGCAGCTGGTTCACCACAGAACTCCTTGCCAGGGAGAGGCAAAACCAGAAGTTTTCCCGGCACCTTGCCTCGGCGCCAAACTGGTCAAAGGTCACATAGAACCCGTGTACTTTCCTGCTATTGGAAACTTTGAGCTGGTTGCCAGGACTTATCTCGTCCGAATATAGTGTCATGGTCCATGCACGATCTGGCCCATTCGGATGCACGTGCATCCTCTTCTGGAAGAAGGTTGCGAACTGCGGAAGGTCGTTGCGCAAATGCCACAAAAAAGCAGGCAGATTCAACACTGGCAGATTCACCTGAGACTCGTCCTTTTGCAACTTCACGGGCGATATGTGTGATCAACGAACCGTGAGGAGTTTGCATGTCGATGTGCTCATCCCTGGCTTCTTCTGGACCCAGCATCCGGAAGAGGGGTTTCCTTCAGTTCCTTCAACACTGCCTGTGCTTTCGGCCCAATGCAGCCAGAGCCATCTTTATGGATCCTGCTCGCGAGCGTAAGAAAGCTCTGCAAGCGAAATAAGAATCATATTCGAGATACTCGCAATCAGTCCTACATACAGATCTGAAAGTGTATACGGCTATATACAGAAACGATTCTAAGGTAGCAGTGCATCATGGCATGGAACACACACGAGGTCGACATAACCACACAAGTGAAGCCACTGCAGACTGATGTGCAAAACGGCACTGGCACAAAAGAGCTGCCAACATGTCGGTTCATATGAGGCGTGTGTCGCAGATAACGATGCACCTTCTTTTTCTCGCAGCAGAAACACGTGTTCCGTGGGTTCTTTGATTGCATATAGTGCAGAACATAAATGCATCCAGACCCCGTTCATGGAGCATGCATGGCCTACATACAACTCGTGAGCATGGCTGTGAACATTCGGCACAGCAGTGGCATTGCTCCTGCATTAGCATATACTACTTTACATAGCAACTCGGCCGGCAGCCAGGGCTCCAGCGACACTTCGAGCAACCGTGTGGTCGCAGGGCCAATCTCTTCTTCATCGGCAAGTTGGCATAGTACTCCCGTGTGCCGGTCGCTGGGTTCGCCATGGCCTTTGCCTTTGCCATGGCGGGCTTCTTCATCACCTTGGTGCTGTTGCCCTCCCCCTTGCCATTGCCCTTCTTGCCGACGGTCTTGTCGCCATTCGTGCCCTTCTTGCCCTTGCCCTTGCCCTTCGTTTTTTTGGCGCCTTTTCCCTTGCCCTTTGCACTACCATTCTTGAAAGATGTGGAGGCACGACTCCTCTCACCCTTCTTCTCGTCCAAGGAATTTGACACAAGGGCGGCAGCGGCAAGGATCCCGTCATCGTCCAGCTCCGTTTGAACCGTCTTGCCAGGTGCGACCCCACCAGCAGGTGGCGAATTTTGAAGATCCTGAAAGACGGTTGCGGTCTCACGACTCGGCGACTGCAGGGCAACTTGTGATGGCTGCTGCACACCAGCAGTGCAAGCTGCATTTTGACCACTGGCACTGGAGGACGATGTGACAAGAGCTTGCTGCTGAACATTGGCAGTTGCCTGTGATGCCTGCTGCGATTGTCCGGGCCTGAACATCTGTAGGTTCGACAAAAGCTGATCGGGATTGGATGGTTGCATCATCTGCTGCATGCATTGCATGCCTCGAAGCCAGCGCATCATTGTCATGCTCGAAGAAGGGTCTGGCATCGATCCCATGCCCATGCCCATGGGATTTGGCCAGGGCTGCTGCATGGTCTGCATGAAGCCTCCCGTGCCAGAGTTCTTGACCCTCTTGTCAGAGCCTCGGATGACGAGCTGTCCAGAAGCCTTGCGCACATCGGCAGGAGAAAGGCTTTGGGGTGAGCATGCGGGGTCGTCTGCATCGTGGGCTGGAGTGCGAAGCTCAGCAGGAAGTTCCTCAACGGAGCTGGGGTAGTGGAGCAAATGGATTCCATTTCTGCCCACTTGCTTGGCCTTCTGCTTCAGTATCTTCTTGAAAGTCACACTATGTGCATAGGATTCAGAAGGCGATCCCAAATTGGCCCCGTGTGCCACTCCTGCTGCGAGAATGGCTCGGACTGAAGGCTCGCTTGGGCACACCAAACGAAGTCTGCAGCACCTGCTTGCGAGGCATTCCAGCTTCATTGTGTTGTTGCATTGGCCACCCAAAATCTCAATGTCCTTCACTGACAAGAAGTGTTCGAAACTGCTGAGGTGTTGCATGCCTCGCTTGTCTGTTGCAGCATTGCTCTGGTTCGAAACGACGGCAGCGATTGCTTCGGAGAACCTCTGGCTCTGTGTCTGTGTCCAAGGGCCCTGCTGCCAAGCATTCACCAAGGCTGTGCCATCCTGGGGCTTCAGCCTCATGCTTTGAACCCGCTGGATGAGGGCCAGGACCTGCCCTTCACGAACAGAGTCGTAATTGCCAGCATCCTTCATCGTCGCCAAGAAGCTTGCGATTGCCTGCAGATCCGCCACCAGTTGGTCCGTCTGTGTGGCAGTCGACAT